ATGATTTTTCAACACCCACTATGTGGCAGACCTCATCCTAGGCCAGTGTTTCTCAGACCTTAGCTTGCAGCAGAATTCCCTGGAGAGCTTTTTAAAACACATATTAGCAGCATTCCATGGCCAGAATTTCTAATTTAGTAGATCTGGGGTAGAAGCCAAGAATTTGTGCTTCTGACAAGTTCCCAGGTGATAATTATGCTTTTAGTCCAGGGAACCTTGAGAACCTTTGTTCTACTCACTAGAAAAACAAAATAAAACAAAAAAGATACACACAGAAAAAGATCTCTATTCTCTTGAAAATTAAATTACTTTCTTTTGTCAAAAGAGCAACCTTAGTGACCCATTTAAACTGTAGTTCAATAGTTCAAACTATTAGCATGAGGAAAGCTGGCTTCTCTTTTCCTCAGTGCAAGATGGACTATAGCTTCAAAAATATAATTGCTTCATCTCTGTTCCCTGGGAGGTAAAATGGTCTCACCCTCACCCACGGAATGAGTCAAATCACTCTTACAATGGTGTAAAGAATAAGACAAAACAGGTTTAATCTTCATTTTAAAACAGATAGATATTCATTTTCTTCCACATGAGTTTTGGGAAAAATTTCTTGTGAAGGATGGATTGGAAGAAGTAAGTTAAAGGTAGGAAAACCAGTTAAGAAACAATTATAGTAAACTTGGCCAATAAAAGATCAGATTCTGAGTTAATACAATAGTAGTGGAGGTAGATAATGGGGGGAGGGGCAGATGAAAGCATTTATAGATGTAGAAACAATCAGATATAAAAACTCATCTCAACTGTGAAGTAAAAGTGAGGGTGATGTCAAGAGTGATTCCTAGATTTCTGTGTTGGACATTCACTAAATCAGTTAGTCACTAATTCCTAAGATTAGTAAAATTTGAAGGAAAACAAGATTAGGGAAAAGAAAATGAGCTCAATTTTAGAGTTTCCTTAGGCCATCCAGATGGAAAAGTTCTCTTCGACAGCTGTCTCTAAAGAAGCAGAGACTGGGGGTAAGCTTCAGTCTGCAGATAAAGATTTTTGAGCCACAGCTTATACGTAGCAGTATCAGAATAAAGTAGTGGAGGAAACGCCCAGAATTATAAAGCTATCTGTGACACACCAATACTAACTGAGTGGACAAAAGAAAAGATGCCCATATAAAGACTATAAAAGATTATCAAAGAAAAAGAACAGGAAGGAACAATATTTCAGAAGCCAAAGGAGATGTTTCTTTAAAGAGAGAAGTATACATTATGTCTACTGCCATAAGAAACCCAACAGGATGAGGACTGAAAACAGTTCATCAGATTTGGCAGTGAGGTCATCAGAGAAGTTTTTTTTAAAGTGTGGAGGCCTGACATTTAATTTTATTAGGATGAGAGTAAGAGGAACTGAGACAGGAAAGAAGGTAAGTGTACAATATTCTTTAAAGTAGCTTGTGTATGATGTTGTGTATGACATTGAAACCCAGAAGAGAGAGATGCAGAGAGTGAGAGGGACAGAGAGAGAGAGAATTAGAATGACCAGGAACACAGATGTGTGAATTCTCTTTAAGCCCAGGGTATATTATTTCCTTGAGATTTGAAGGAAAAGAAGTAAGCTGAGTACACTAATTGATCCATTTGTAGAAAGGTGAAGAAGACTGCAATTGATAGCCTCTAACTTTTTGATGAAGCAGGAGGCAAAGCTGTTCACTGAGATGGAAAAAAGAACCAATAAATAGTTTGTGTAGAGAGCAGTCTGGAGGAATCACTGTGTGAGGAACAGAAGAGTCCATCAGTGATATTTGAACAAAAAAATCAGATGGTGCCAAGAACCTGAGAAGAGTATCAGCCCATGAATTTGTAATGACACCATTTTTCTCAACAGCATTCAGTAGTCCAAGTGAGGAGTAGAGAAGGAGAATTGAAGGATGACTCAGTGGGTGGTTTGCTTCATCAAAATGACAACAGGGCTACAAAATCAAGGACTCGGCAAGAGAGGGACTAAGTGATGAACAATGGAGTCTCCTATACAGACTTCTGGAAGTAAACAAAACTATGAGTGAATGACAGATTCAGAAAAGGCAGTGTTCAAAGTGTTGGAGAGTGAGAAGCTAAGAATTTAAGACATAGGAAGATTAATGTTCAGTAGCTTGCATATTTATTATTTTACATTCATGTAATACTATGATCTAAGCATTGTTTAATATTAATTTATTGAATCCATATAATAACCTTAAGGAACATTATTATGGTTATAGCCCCCAATATGCAGATGTGGAAATCTGAGTCACAGAGAAATTTACTTGCCTGTGATCAGACAGATACTAAGTGGTAGAGCTGGAACTTAAATCCAGGCAATTTGGCTACAGAAGTTCTACTGCTAATCAACACTTTATGCTGCCTTCCCTTTGACATTTTAGATTTCAGAGTTGCTCTGGGCCAACAGCTTTCAATTTTGGTTGCTTTTTAGATTTAGTGAGGCCACACCACAAACTCAGAATGTCTGGGAGTGGGATCTAGGGATCTGTGGTCTTCCAAGCTCCCCAGGTGATTGCAACATGCAGACTAGGGTAAGAACCACTGATCTAGACCTAAATGAAGAAGCAGCAGCAGTCAACTTGATCATATTGATAGACAAATCGAAGTGGTGGAAACCAGAGTGAAAACACTAGCAAGAAAACACTGCCACCCAGGTGGATCTAGTAGAATTCAGAACCTCTAAGGACAGTTAGATTAAGGATGTGAAAAAAGGCAAAAATCCAGATGATAATCTCTCTAGAGAATACTGTTGAAAATTAACACCTAATTTCCAACCCTTGTCCCTGAATATGGTAGGAGCATTTATCCTCAGGCTCAAAATTACATTAAAAAATTAAGTGATCTTCCTGGGAAAAACCAGGCTCATATAGGTGAGTGCCACACCCTGGAGTAAAGCTCTCTTCAATCTGGTACTAGGTAAGGGAGGCAGGGCACACACACCTGTCTGCCTGTCCCACTTGTGCAGCCTAAAATGAAACCTACCAACTAAAAAACTTACACAACTACCTAGAATACAAATGCACTTAGAGATAATAAGCCTAAATAACTGTATAAGAAAACCATGCCAGCTGACCTAACCCTTACAAATATTAACAACCAACTACAGATGGCCAAATTACTTATTTCCTTTCAACTAAGATGGTGTTAATTGTAGAACACATTATTTTATATACTGCAAAAGAAAAAAAAAGCATTGCTAGTTAAATTGTGACATTCTATTGATTCTAAGTTGCATCCCGATTTCAGAGCTAGGAAAATCTGAAAAAAGAGTAAGCATCTTAGAATTGATTTAATTCAGAATTTGAGGAAAACCAGTAGCAGATAAAGAAGAAAGAGGAGGAAAATAAAACCACTGACCTCAAAATAAGCAAGAATAATTCAGAACTTGAAACTATTTTATTGTATATGTTCAGAAGTATTTAAGAAAATACTGATTCCAAAAAATAAAAAATAGCCTGCTATACCAAAACAAAGAAGTCTAAGAAAGAGTTTTTAGAAATTTAGAATGTGATTAACAAATTTTGTTTAAATCAGAAAAAAGGCTATAATAAATAGTTGAAGAAATTTCCCAGAATGTAAATCAACATATAAAAGGATAAAAAATTTAATAGAAAAGTTGAAGGTTAGAAAATCATTGCAGGATACCCAATGCATATCTAATACCTGTTCTACAAAGAAGCAGCAGAGAAAGTGTAAGGGAGGAATAAGTTTTTAAATAATAAGTTTTAAATAATATTGTTTACAGCTGAAGTTGTATCCATGTTTTCAGATTTAGGGCTGGTAGAATGCCAAGCAGGGTGAAAGAAAAATTCAAACTTCAAGATAGAGGGGGAAAAAATCCTAAAAGCTTTCAAGAAAAAAAAAAGGGGAGGGTGTTACTAACAAAAGGATAATAAACAAATTGCCATCAAATATCTACTCAATATCATTGGATACCAAAAGGCAATGCAGCAAATGCTTACAGACACACACAGAGTTGATAGGTAGGAGATAACTATTTAGACTTGTTAAATAAAACAGTAGAGATATACTATTTAGAGTAATGGAGCTCATCAATAGGAGATCTAAAAATAAAATTGTCCAAAATGGGTTACTTCTTGGGAGTGGGGCTGTGGGAGAAAGGGATAGAGAATTTGTTTTTATTTCATATGATACTTAGGTTTTTATTACTGTTACTTTTATTATTAACAAAATAACAATCAAGATGACAAATATAGGTGGCTGCATACATGAAAATTTTTTTCAACATAGGCAATTCCCAGTTTCCCACAGCTATAAAATGAACCTCAATAACATGTGCAGATAATCTACAGGCCTCATTATAATCAGTAGCTTCCACATCTTCTGCATTGTCACAAGAGCGCATTTTGGTATCCACTACCACAAAAAAGACAGAATTGATTTTTACTTCTTTTTCTCTGGCCCCCTACTGCAGGTTCTAATGAGCAGCGAAATGACCAAAAGGACAGCTACTATAGGAAGAAAAAGAAGAACAGAGACCTTACTGATCCTCTGACTTGAAAATGATTCCCTGAATAATTGGGAGCTGACTGTTTCACTGAGTACATGACCACACATTTGGAATGATGGATTCCTTTATGAATCTTATAGCAATTTAATATGACCTATAGCATAATGAAGTTGATTTTGAGCTTACAGTTAGGAGATCTACTATAAAATTGCATCCACTCTAATAAAGTTTCAATAGCCAGGTCTTGGGCAAAATCGAGGAGGTAGGCTATGGATGCACTGCATCATAGGTGGGGCTCAACAGTACGTTCCTGACTGAGGTTTAAGTGAAATTAGTAAGTAAATTCAACCAGGTTTCCAGCTGACTCTTGTATAATCTCTGATCCACATCCTTGTATTAACAAGTACCAAATGGCTCTCACATTGTATCTGACTGTTTAGTGATCAACTGAATGGAATGTTATGGGAAAGAACAAGAAATCCTACTGGCAGACAGAGAACACTTACCTTCCCATCTGCTGCCTCTGGCACTCATTAGTCACACTGGCATTCAGGAAATGGCAGGCAAGTGCAAGAGCTGGTGGGAAATGGAAGCTACAGAAAAGGAAGAAAAGGAAAGGTAAGTATTTTTCCTAAACAATCATATATGTCCTATTGATGTCTACCAAACAAGTATATGTTTGTGTTAACCAAATTCCTGTCTCCATCCCAGAATCAAAGGAGGCAAGTGTATGAAAATTTTATCTGATTTTATTTATTTAAAATTTTTTTCCATGATAAAAACTTTCTTTAATCCCTGGTTTGATTAATTATTCTATTTCTTATGTGACTCCACTGAACTCTTTACATATTTCCATGACAACATCTGTTACATTATGATGCATTTCGTTTATATACTTGCCATCTTTTTTAATTGAAATAGAGTTGATTTACAATGTTGTGTTAGTTTCGAGTGTAGAGCAAAGTGATTTAGTTATACATATACGTACATATATTCTTTTTCAGATTCTTTTCCATTATAGGCTATTATAAGATATTGAAAATAATTCCCTGTGCTATATAGTAGGTCCTTGCTGTTTATATATTTTATGTACAGTAGTGTGTATATGTTAATCCCAAACTCCTAATTTAACCCTCCCCTCTGCTTTCCCCTTTGGTAACTATAGTTTGTCTTCTGTATCTGTGAGTCTATGAGTCTGGAAATTTTAGAATAACTTTTTTATCTCTGCTTTTGGCCATTAATAATTCAGAAGTTTTGAGGTCTAATTTCAGAATAACCTACCATGAGACAAAGAAAATTTATTTTTAATGATTACAGCATGGCTAGGCACATCTGGTTTTAATTTTGTATTACCTGATTAAAAAAAAAACTACATTGTTTAAATCAATATCAGACTCCTGAAAATCTTACTACAGGCTAGAATAGTGAAGTTTTTCTATAGTAATTATTGGAGTTCATACAATTTAATACTATAGGGAAGGGGAAATTCTAGTCTACTGTTGGCAAAAGAGTGGTAAGTATGAGAATTAAATTTGGAGCCAGATGACTTTTGCCGAATCTCTGTAGTGCCATTTTCTTTGTGATCATTATCTCTCTGAGTCTGAATTTTTTCATCCAAGACATGGATGAGACAAACTCTCCTTTACATATCTAAGATTATATAGTCCTGTGTGTATTTTGAAGGATAATTTCTTAAATTTCTTAATACAGAGAGCTGAAATGTTGGAAGTGTGGGGTAGAAGTGGATTCACAATGGAGTTATTTATTGAACAAAATAGAGAGGAGGACATGGTAATGACTGGATATTTAGCTTACAAAACTCAGAAGATAGACTTAGTAATTGGGTAAAGCATAACTATAACTTTTTTGATTCAAATATACTTTCAACCCTCAGATTCCCTTGCACTGAAGTAAAATAGTCATGTCCTGCTCATTACAATAGAACATATACCGCAGAAGACTACACAAGACAGTGATATCCAAAGAGAGATAAAAGGGAGAAAGACCTGGAGTCCTAGTGTCAAATTCTTTGGAGAAAAATTAACACAGTAGTGGCAACAGGAACTTACCCCAAGAAACAGAGAACTTTCTTTTTGGCAGAGTGAATGGGAAAAGGGAAGGAGAAAAAGGGAAGAAGAGACTGTTTCATTTTAATTAATTAGAAAAAGAGAGCAAGGAGATGGAAGATTCAGAGCTCAAAATCCTTGATCAAAGGAACCAATATCCTCCCCACTTCACCACAAATACCATTATCATTTCTTAACCTTATTGCCAATTGCTTGTTACAATATAGCTCTAAAAAACTTAAGACTCAATCTGTTATCCACAAATACTAGAAAATTTCAATTGAAGTCTCCTTTTTTGCCCACTTCTATATTAGTCATATTTTCCTATTTCCATATTTTCTTCTTGCCACATTAACCAAAAAAGACCTTGCATCTGAGAATCTATTATCCTTAATGTATAGATTCTGATTTAAAATACTGAAATTTGTATTGAATGTCAAGGAATGCCCTATGTAAAAAATGTCACCAAAACACCTAAATTAAGAGAAAGCTATGTTTAATTATCAAAATGGATGCTCTGCAAGTTTTAAAGAATGTACATGGGACTCTCTTCCATATAACAATCTGTGGGATAGATTAGGTAGCTTCCTCTGAAAACAACAGATTGTTTAACGAATTATTTTGGCAATTGGTAATATACTCTCTTGAGCCATTGTTTTTAGTAATCTCTTCAACTGAATTAAATATTTTTAGTTAAATCTCACATGTTTATACCTTGCTTCCCACATTTAAGCTCACTGAGAGCAGAGACCACTTCTTAAAATTATTTATATTGCACAAAGAGTCCTGTACCTACCATAATAGGTGCTCAATCACCAAATGAGTGTTTGGATTATCTGACCAATAATTTATCTAACAACATAGAAATTCTGATTTTATCACTCTGGTGTTCCTTAATCTGATTTGTTTCTTTATAAAGTCTAACTATCAGATTCCTGGAATTGTTTTAATGAACAGGTGAGAATTACTTCTAAAAACATTTTCTATTTGTATGCCAACAGACAATAGCAAAGGTCTTGAAAATATTTTATGTTCTGTAATACTGTCATCTTTAGCAAAATGTTTAGCAAACATATTTTCGTAGACATTATTAATATAAACCTAAATCCATAAGTTTAAATTAATAGGTTATAAATGTAATGCCAGAATTAACTATTTTTACTAAAATATAAATAATTTGATCCAAAGCCCAGAGTGTTACAATGCAAATAATTTTTAAAAATGTTTATCTAAATTTTAATGTAGATCAATAATTTTCAGAAGGTTTTGAGAACAGTGGGAACTTTTCAAAATAAAATTTGTACAAATACCTTCAATAAAATTGATAAACATCTATTATTAAAGTGAAATTATTTCATAACATATTTGGAACAACTTATAAATTCCATTGAGAACAAGGCTTTTATGACTACAAAAGAATTTTAATTAGTAGTTATAAAATCCTAGTCTCAACAATATATTTCACTTCCAGATTTTATTTTAGTATGAAATAGTAGGGAAAAAAAATATGACTCACAAGGCTAAAAGCAACAAAGAACAATAGTTTAAAAAAATCTTTTTAGAGATTGCTTTTTTAAAATTTTAGAGTATTTCTCAATTAAATCCATCCAGAAACCTAAAAGCAGGTGAATGGAAGATCTTTTATACAGAAGGATAAACACTAAAATTATCCGAACAAAATAGAATTACCCTAAAATTAGTTGAATGATTATCCATTCTTAATTATCATACTAGTGTAACAATTTTAAAAAACATTTGCTATAATGTCTGGCATATATTGATGGTGTAATTCTGCAATTAACTCACCGGGGAGGGCCCAATTAAACATAATTGAATTGGATAACTCAAATCAGTAATGGCTGAATCAAAACTTACTCTCTCAGAGGCAATGAAAATCACTTGCATTTTATGGAACAAAAGTCATACACTGCCAGGGTAGAGGCAGTTCTTGTGCAACTAAAGGGTAGGCACACTAAAGAAAGCTAGAGCAAGAACAAGCACACAACATGCTTTGTCTGACCTTTTCTAAAGAGCTTTTACATCACCCTTTCCTCTAGTTTCTGCCAAGTATAACTAATGTAAATGGTTTTGGTGCATTCAAACATACACAAAGGATTTCTCAACAAATAGAAATTCCATTAAAAATATTGCATGATACTTTTTATAAGGATTAAGGAAATGAATGTGCATTATAAATTCTGACTTTTGGCAGGAGAAAGACAGAATAATGTTTTGTATTCTCATTATGTACTGTTTAAAATTTAAGATATTGTAAAAAGTTTTCTGTTTTCAAAAAAAAATCCCACATGGTGTGGTTGATGTGAAAGTACAACCATTGTTTCATGTTTTCCAACCAGTTTACATAATTTACCTATATTAAATAACAGGTTTTCTAAGGTACATTTGCTTTTTAAAACTCATTCATTTCTTATCACACCGTATGTCCCATATATCTCTTAAGTTAAGTTATTAGCTCCAATACCCATTCATGTTAAAAACTCTCAGTAAATTAGGAATAAAGGAGAATTTCCTCAATTTAATAAAAAATGCCTAAAAAATACCAACAGATAACATCATCTTTAATATTCGATACTTTCCTACTAAGATCAGGAAGAAGGCAAAGATGTTACCTGTCACCACTGATTTTCAACATAGTACCAGAAATTCTAGCTACTGCACTAAGACAAGAAAAGGAAATAAAAGGTACACAAATTGGGAAGGGAGAAATAAAACTGTCTTTATTCATAGAAGACATGATTATCTATGTATAAAATCTGAAAAGATTAATTAAAAACTTCTGGAACTTCTAAGCAATTATAGCAAGGCTGCAGGATACAAGGCTAATATTCAAAAGTCAATTGTTTTCCTATATATCAGCAATGAACAGGTGGAATTAATGGTAAATATTAAAAAAAATTGCCATTTATATTAGCATTCTCCTATAAAATGAAATACTTAGTTATAAATCTAACAAAATATGTACAAAATCTATATGAGGAAAAACCACAAAACTCTAACATACAAAATCAAAGAAGAACTAAATAAATGGAGAGATATTCCATGTTCATGGATAGGAACACTCAATATTGTCAAGATACCATTTCTTCCCAACTTGTCTATAGATTCAATGTACTTCCAATGAAAATTTCAGCACGTTATTTTGTGGATATCAAGAAACTGAATCTAAAGTTTACATAGAGGGGCAAATGACCCAGAATAGCCAACACAATATTTAAGGAAAAAACAAAGTTAGAGGACTGATACTACTTGACTTCAAGATGTACTAAAAAGCTGCAGTACAAACTTATGGTTACCAAGGGGGTAAGGGGGTGGGAAGGGATAAATTGGGAGTTCTAGATTTGCAGATGTTAATATACATAAAATAGATAACCAACAAGTTTATACTGTATAGCACAGGGAACTATATTCAATATCTTGTAATAACCCTATGGTGAAAAAGAATATGAAAATGAATATATGTATGTTCCTATATGACTGAAGTATTGTGCTGTACACCAGAAATTGAC